CTGTGTGATCGTGAGCGTGTCGTAGAGGTCGCAGAGGGTGTCGAACTTCCACTGCTCGCGCTCGATCGCCACCTCGGGGCAGCCCTTCTCCGCGTTCCCGCTCCTACGAACATCTAACACGCCCCCGCACACGTACACTCTGCGAATCTATGACCGCTCCTGCGGCTCCTGCTGCCGCGGCCAGATGCTCCGAAGCACGAGCTAGAACAGAAGCGTGACGCCAGTGCGTCGGCTGAGAAAGCGGGGCTCGGGCACTTCAGCAACCCCACCGCACAGAACGGCAATGCCCGCAACTACTCCTCCTCCTGCTCCTCCTCCTCCTCATCCCCCTCCTCCCCCTCCTCCGAGTCGTCCCTCGATCCTCGTCCAGCGGCCGAAAGGGCAAGGGCGTCCAAGGAGGCGAGGAGGCGGCAGGCAAGGACGGCCTGGGCTGGGGGCCCCGTGGACGGGTCACAGTCTCCCCGGGGCCTAGGCTCGGGAGCACCGCCGCTCTGGAGACTCCCGCCGAGCTCTGGTCCCCCGCCCATGGCCCGAAGACACTCCATGTCCACCGCAGGGTGCCGAGATCCGCGAAAAGTCGATCCCCCATGCGGTGGTCGTGCACGAATCCCCGCCCCAGAACAGAGGAAGGAAAAACATGGCATAAGCGTGAACTCTCAAGGGTCCGCGAGGAGTTCTTGGACTTGCGCCGCAGCCCCCCCTCCCTGGCGCGCGGAGCGCGGCAACGGAGGCGCGACCGAGGGGGTCCCAACGCCGGCAAAAGAAATCCGCGCTGAGCGCCGAACCTTCCTGTTTATGCCGCTGCTTCTCCCTCGCTCGCCATCGCCCAGACGTCCACTCCGCGTGCAAGCCTCGGCTCCGCGCGTGCACTCTTCGCGAGATGCTGCAGCATGCTCCTCGAGGACCCTCGCCGAGGAAAAGCGCACGCGCCCGAGCGACTCCAGGCCTCGACGGAAGCTGGGCCGCCTGCCTTCGCGCCCCGCGCTGTGCGGCGCGCGGTGGCCTCTCCGCGCCCTGCCGCCCCTGCGCCGACCCACCCGCAGAGGGGGCGGGCGGCTCGCGCGGGCACCGCGGCGGCGCACGCAAGGCGCTGTTGACCTCTCGCCCCTGCCGGCGACCCAAGAGTGAAGGGGCCCAAGGACACACAAAAAAATACACACAAATAAAATAGTTCCCCATATTTTCTCATACTTTCTGGGTTTTTGTCTTCCCCCCCACTTCCCACATTTTCCCATATTTTCGGGGGAATCGAGGATTAATTGTGTCTGAGTGTCTCTTTTCCTCCTGAAAGAGGACCGGCCACACGCAGGGAGCGACCCTGCGTAAGAGTGGCCTTTGGTGCGCGGCTGCTTCCGGGCCGCCGGGGACCCAAACACAGGCGCGCGCAAGACGCTACAGCAGGGGCCCGACCAAGATGGACCCTCCACAAGAAGCCCAACCCTGAGACCCCAGGGCTTCCACGGGTTTTTGGTCTGGGAACGCCACGCTTTCCACAGCAAAACCGCCGAGATCCAAGAAACCCAGGGCACAGCGGAGGCACGCAGGGTGCTTCTGGGCCTGGGCCTCCACTGCACGCGCCACGAGTGGCCCTGCGTAAGAGTGACCTCTGTTCGGTGCGCGGCTGCTTCCGGGCCGCCGGGGGCCCAACACACAAGCCCACAAGACTCCACTGCCGCCTCGCGTTCGGCGAGCGGGAGGCCCCAGAGGGCCCACACCACAGGTCACTCCGGCGGAAGGTCACTCTTACGTCTACGAAGCCACGAAGGCTCCCCTGACTTGCTACCGAGCAGTCTCCCTGAGGTCGCCACGAAGAACTGCTTGATACCGTCGAGCGTCAGCTCGTCGCGCTTGACCAGGACCCGGAACGGGTTGTTCATGAACTTGTGGGTCATCTCGAGGACCTCGCGGTGCCCACCCCCCCGCCCGATAAAAGATAGCGTGGCGAAGAGCCCAAACCTATGCGGCTGCGTGGTGTAGCGCAGGCCGTGCCCCTCTCTTGATATCGGCGCCAACCCAAACAAATTCTATTATATGTGCGTCGCCCCCCCCAGGGGCGCCGCGCGCACCGAGAAATGTTATAGTATATGCGTCGTTGCGTGCGCTTTCTGGCCACACCGCTCGGGAAACGGTGTACTACAAGATGGGTATACTAGATGTTCGGGTCGGACGCGCGCCTCCGAGGAGGACATATAGTTTTAGTATGTCTCTGTGCGTCGCATGATATACTGAGCGCCGCGGGGCAGGGCGGATAGAGCAACTGCGCGCGCCGAGGCGTGCCGAGCTCCCATGCGGGACAAGGGCCAGCGTCAGGGGGATGCCGAATATTGGGCGGCCCCGCCGCGCGAGCCCACCCACGGATGCCGCGGGTGCGGCTCCCTGCGGGGCACCCTCCGCGTGAAAGGGGTGCCGACCTTGGCGGCGGGGCTCCGTGCGAACTGGCCCACTGCTGCCGTGAGTGGAGCTCTCTGCGGGGCACGACCCGTGAGGAGTGTGCCGTAGCGGACGGAGGGGGCGGCATGCGAGCGCTGCCTCTGTGCCCGTAGGTGCCGCTCCCTGTGGGGCGCGAACGCGTGAGGGCGTGCCGAAAGAGGCGAGGGAAGGAAGAGCGGGAGGAGGAGGAGGAGGAGGAGGAGGAGGAGAGGAAGAGGAGGACAAGGAGAAGAGCTCTCACCCATTTCAGTTCGATGTCTCAGTGATCTCTAAACACCGAACCTGGAGGGGATACAACTTATATGCGGCCCCATTCAACTTGCCAGCCTGGAGAGCCACACGCGCTGGCGACGAGGGGAGGAGGAAGAGGAGCACGACAGGAGGAGGAGGAGGAGGAGGAGAAATGGGGAGGAAGGCGCGGCGCTGCGTCATCAAAGCGAGGGCCAAACTCTCTACAAGAGATCTTGAACAATGAGGCAACGTTAGCAGGGAGCAGGCGGGAAGGGGTTCACGGGGGGGGGGGGGCAGGAATGGGGGGGGGGAGCGCGAGGAGTCTGAGGACGGGTTGGAGGCGGACGTGGGATACGCACGTTTCTCCTCTTCCCGCAGAAGGAGAAACGCATCGTGTATCCATGTATGCATACACATACACATGCACATGCACATGCACATACACCTACACATGTACACACATATATGCATATATGCATATACCTACTTTGATATGTCTATATAAAGATAAATATATGCATGTGTGTATATACATATACACATATATGCACACGTCCTCCCTGGAACTGCCCTGGGCACTACACTCTCCTGGAACTGAGCTCCTCTCAGCTCCCGGGCGCTCTCTCCTGGATCTGCGCCGCGCGGCCTCTGCCGGCGCGCCTCCCGCGCCGCCCCCGCTGCGCTCCGCGCGCCCGGGGAGGGGCGTCCCAGCACCGATCCAGGAGCTCCGCGCGGAGCTGTGCTGATGCAATGTAGAGTCGGGGCGTTGACCTAAGGAACCCTAAATAAGGAACGAGGCCCCTTTTTTCCATAAGTTAACCTTCGATTTCCTGCCGAGAACATAAGGAAAGCCTGAGGCAAGCTGCGAAACACTTGAGGAACGCGGAGCCCCTCCCCAACGAAAGGGGTTCCTTCTTCGGGGCCCCGACTGTGGCTGTCTCGCCATCGCTCGGACCTCCAATCGCTGTACATATCTCGGTCTCGTGCGACTTCTCTCCGCAAGACGATCCAGGATGCTCCTCCGTGGTGCTCGCCGGGGACAGAAAATACACGCGTCCGAGCGATGCTGAGTTCTTCTGCGACGCGCGTGGCAGAAGTCGCTCTTGCTCCCGGGCCTCGTGCGGCATGGTGGCGGAGACGAGGACCACCTGGGTCGATGGGGGAAGGTAACGGTAGATGTCGTAGACCTGCTCCTTTTGGACGCCCGAAACGGCTCTGGAAAGAATGTGCGCGACACCCAGCAACAGATGCGGTGCTGGCATTGGACAAGGGAACCTTTGATAAGGAATCCAAGGTCTGGAAGCCCGTGGAAAGCCAATCGTGAACTGGCCATCCTCATCAGATAAGGAACCGTTCAGGGTCTGAAACCTCCCGTGCACGTTCCTTAACCAGCGCCCCCATCGTACCGACAGCGGCCGCTGCTGGGCAGGCGGCCTTCTTGATGGGACTGATTTCCACCACCACTACCATATGTTGGAGAAGGAGGAGGATGAGAAAGAAGAGGAGGAGGAGGACCTCTCCCTCCAACCTATGGTAGTGGTGGTGGAAACCAAGCCCATCACTTCTGACTCAAGTGGACACCGTGTGCAGCGACGCCAACAGCGAACCCAGTTCAAAGTGGACAGGAACCGCTGTGGGTATGCGTGCCCACTCTTCCCACATCTCTTTCGATCGTACCGATCCTTGAAGCCACGGTTCAGCATCTCGTCCGCCTCGTCCAGAACGAGCATCTTGATCTTGCGGGTGCTGAAGTGCCTCTGCTGGATCATGTGGAACACGCGCCCTGGCGTGCCAGACACGATGTGGACGCCCGCCTCGAAGGTGTGGATGTCGTCAGAGACCCGCTTGCCGCCAATGCAGCAGTGGACCTAGGGAAACCAAAAACGGCGTGAATATAAACTGTTGGACGCACGACCAGATTTCTTGGATCTGCGCTTGGTCCCCCTGGCGGCGCCTCCAGCATGATCAGCACCCAAATGATCAGATTCTTCTCAAGTCTCACATGTTTCCAGCTCCGATTTTGTCCTGGTCCTAGTTTTGGGCACCGATCAAAAAATCCGTGGGGACCTCCCAGCAATCATATTTATAAAGTCATGGTGCTTTGACTCATGGCGACGTGAGCCCACCCAGGACTTGTCGTCACCGTCGTCGTCATCATCGTCGTCGCCCTCGTCCTCGTCCTCGTCGTGCTTGTCGTCGTCCTCGTTGTCGTCGTCATCATCCGCGTCGACCTCGTTTTCGTCGTCGTCCTCGTCGTCGTCGTTTTCGTCGTCGTCACCGTCGTCCTCATCGTCGTCGTCGTCGTCGTGGCCGTCGTCGTCGTGCCGTGGTCGTCGTCGTCGTTCTCCTCCTCCTCCTCCTCCTCCTCCTCGTCCTCGTCCTCGTCGTCGTCGCGCCGTGGTTTTCTTTTCGGGGCCTGCACGTTCAGGTAATCGCCGAGGGCCAGGCACACCTTCTGGCTCTGCTCCTGCGGGGCAACGTTGGGGGGAGGGGGGACCGGCTCGGGGCTCGGGCGGACGGGGGGCGGGGGCGGGGCGTCGAGCTGGCATCGGCGATACTGAAGGAGCCCTGAGACACACAAATAAATACACACAAATAAAAGGATGTCACATATTTTCCCATGTTTCCTGGGAATTTTGTCTTCCCCCCCCACTTCCCCATATTTTCCCCTATTTTCCTTGGAATCGACGATTCAATGTGTATGTGTGTTTTTCCCCTCCTGAGATACACCAGATCGGCCGTACAGCCGGGCCGCTGACACAGGAAGGCCAGGGAAGAAGCGAAGCCTTCCCGTGAGCACCGAACTTCCGGGCTGAACCTCTTTCGTCTCCGTCCTGTCTTCGTGCCCCCTCGTGTCGTCTTCAGTCCGCCCCTGCGGCAGAAGGAGATCGAAACGAACACGGCCCACGAGATCGCCAAAACACCGTTTAGGCCCAGCCCCGCACCGAACGAGGCTGGACGCACGAGGAGGGCGCGAGGCCTCACCGCGGGAGGGCCCGAGCAGCAGCGGGCCGCCCCGGCCGAAGCCGCAGCGGCCCCTGCGTAAAGCGCCTGGGCCGTCGGGCCCCGCCGGCGAGGCCGTGCCGTCCCTGGGCCGGGCGGGCCAGCGTTCGGAGGCGGCCCGCGCAGCAAGGAGGCGCGATGAGGATGCAAAGGGCGTTGGATTGGAGGCCTGGAATGGGGGGAAAACAAACCTACCTCGCTTTTGACCACCCTCGCTTCCAAGAGATACCAAGCGATGCCAAACTACGGTCAGGCCGCTGGACGAGGAGGCGCGTGGTATGACTTGGTTTTGCCTGGAAGCGAAAGCGGGGTAGGTAATTCACGCTCTGATGGAGATTGGCACCAACACCAGTCCAGGGGGGTGCCTCCACAGGGGGAAGGTGATCCTAGATTTCGGTGCTGGTGGCAATCGTTCGGCCACCCTGGAAGCCAAAACATTACCACCATCGCCGAGATCGGGATCGTCCTCCCTCGGTGGAGGCACACCGCCGATCTTGGTGTTGGTGTCAACCTCTAGGCCTGCGATTGGGCGCCCATTTCGAAGCTTTCCGAGCGGGGCGCGGCCACCCAAACTGGCCAAGGATGGGCCGAGAAGGCAAGGATGCAAGGGTACCCTTGGGAGTGCTGCCTACCCTTACTGTGCGGGTTGACTGTGCCGGGAGGTGTCCGCCGGAATGGTCAAGGAGGATTACAATCGGACTTGATTGGAGAGGACACGCGAGAGGACACAAGACCCTTCCGAGGGCCACAGTGCCACGAGAATGTGGAAGGCATGTGCCGCGAACACACAGGACACAATGGTTTGGCAGGGTCGACCTACTAATCTTGGCCGACTGTAAGCCCCAATGGGAGGCTGTTACGCCAGAGTGGGCCTCGGAAAAAGCGGGATCAGGCTGGACGAAGCGGAATTGAGCGGGATCAAACCGGATGAAACAGTATTAAGCCGGAGTGAACAGGATTTCGGACCGGGGCAAAATCAGAACTTTACCTCCCAGGAGTTGCATCCGAACCATCGGGCCCCTACCCGCGATCAACGGGAGCTTGGGGGGGTCGATCCCAGGACGTTGCCCCTGAGCTCCGCGAGCTCTCGCGTGGGCGAGAGGAAGAGCACCTGCGGGTCGCGTTCCTTCGTGTCTACGGTCTGCAGCGCCCCCAGGCAGAACACGCACGTTTTCCCGGTGCCGCTCTGCGACTGCACGATCACGTCGCGGCCCTTCAGGATGGGGAGAACTGCGCGCTGCTGCACCGCGGAGGGCCTCTCGAAGCCGTAGGCGTAGACGCCCCGAAGCAGGTCCTCCTTCAAACCCAGGGCGTCAAACGTGGGAAGTACCTCTCGGCGGCGCCCAAGGCAGGGGTGCCGCGAGGGGGACGGCCGTCTAAGGGGGCGGCGAGGCTTCGGAGTAGGCAGGGGTTTTTTTCTTGGAGGCCCGCCCAGCTTCCAAGAAGGCTACTTCGGAGGCCCTGTGGAATTCTACACGTCGTTCATTTCTAATCGCGTTCATTTCTAAGTGCCTTCGTTTCTAATTACTCCTGGCCCCATGTGGCCAGGAAGAGGCCCGGGATAGAACAATTAGAAATGACAGGATCTTGCCCCCCAGGAAAATCAAAGAGCTTACGAATAATTAGAATCGAACCATGTGCACGCAGACCCCTGCCTTCTCAAAAGCCCCTCCACCTTCTGAGTAAACCGCCCCCCTCGCGCCACCCCCTGATGGGCGCCGCCAGACCTCGACATCCTCGGACGTCTCGAAGACCAGGCCTTCGTCGTTAGGCGGCTTGGTCATGGCGCTCTGCACTGCAGCAGGCCCGCGCGGAGGCCCTAGCGCGCACCGCTGAGCCAGGGGGGGGTTGCGCGGACACCTGGCACAGCAACGTCAATGGAAATGCGACCGATCGGCGAGCGGGCAGGCGAGCGAAGAGACTGGCATATTGACTGATGCCGTAGGCGCCTCATGTAGGAAGCTGGCCTGCCAGCGGGTGCCCTGCTCAAATGTCTTCTCCCCCGACGGCCCTGGGGGCCCACGGGGACCCTGGAGCACCTCGGGGGCCCATTTTCAAAACAGAAACCCTACTTCTGAAAGCGCGATTGCTTATCGTAAAGTGGGGGCGCGGCCGCAAGAAACCCAGCCCCGAAAATCCAACAGGTGACTTGCCCACGGTGCGTTTTTTCTTTATATATATATAAAGACAAAAGGGGCTCCAACCAGAGAAACCCAGGGCACCCTGGCACGAGAAGTTTCTCATCCTGTGCGCGATCAGGAATCGCACGAGGTGCGACAGGCGCAGCCCTTCCTCAACGAACGGGGAAAGCCACCGCGCACCGCCAGAAACGAAGACGCCCAGGGCACACTGACGAAACCATACGGTTTCTTGGTTCGCATCCCCACTGCATGTGTCTACAATACGGTGGAGGCGTTCGTTAAGGAATGTGCCTATGAGGCTTTAGACCCTGGAGGGTCCCTTATCTGACGAGGGCGGCGATGATATCCTCAGCCGATCCACGATTGGCGTTCCACCAGCTTCCAGACCCTGGCTTCCTCATCCAATGTTTTGTTTTGCCTCGCTCTGTCTTTCCGCGAAATCTGCGGCAGAACGTGCGCGGCCGGGGCAAAACCTGCCGCGACCTGCTGGGCGCGCGGCAACTAAGAGACAAACTGGTAACGCAAAACGCGGCTACGCGGTTGGACGTCAACATGCGGGGGCCTCCCAACACGCGATGCACTTTTTTAAATGCCGCAACTACCAGCTGAACACCCATGCCGAAGATTGTACATGCATTGCGCAACCGCCGAGACCGTAGCCAATCAGGCGGCTGCTCATGCGCACAGGCACCCTGAGGATGGACGGCCCCAGGTTGGCGTTGAAGAACGCAGAACCCAACACTCGCAGCGGTTGAAATGACAGCGAAATCCACCTACGTCATCTAAATAAATCGGGTAAATCGGGTCATTCCGGTCCTCACACGCCTGAGCGCATCCGTGACCTGGGCACACCTCGAAACTGCTGGAGCGCTGCTGCAGGAGCGCGGCGTCTTCACACCCGCCTGCGGCCTCGCACGCGCCCGCCGGGGCCTCGCCGGAGGCCGCTCCCTGGACGAGCAGCAAGGCCAGCGCGACGAGCTTCGGGAGCGCCATCGAACGCAAGGATCGAGGCGGCGCGGTGCGGCGCGGGAGGGGGTCGGCCAAGACAGTGTAAGCTCGAAGCCAAACGGCTTGAGCGAAAATGGCTACGGATGGTTCCTTATCCAATGGCTCCTTGTTCAATGCCCTCACCGTAGTTGGCTGGGCATGGTGGAAGGAAAACTGCAACAACATACACGACCGACGGTCCGCGCAGATTGCTTGGAGCTGCGCTGGACCCTTCTGGCGTCGACAAGCGCGTTCCACTACTCGCAACGTAGCTACTCGCAAATGGCCTGGATCCGCCGCGGGGAATATACGCTTAATTCCATTATGGAAGACATGTTTTTGTCAGGACGTTTGCAAGTAGGCACTTTGCGAGTAGTGGAACGCGTTCGGTGATGCCGGCACCTCCGGCGCCGCCCCTGGCGCGCTCCGCGCGCCGGGGAGGGTGGCCCAGCGCAGACCCAAGAAATCCGCGCGGACCGTCAGAAGTTGATTCAGGAGAGGCTAGGTCCAGACAGAAGAAGGCCAGAGGAGGAGGAGGAGAAGGAGGAGGAGGAGGAGGAGGAGGAGTCAGCATCTGATCAGGAGGGCCCGAGTCGAGACGGAGTACGCCCAGCCAGACACCGAGCACTCCGTATGGACTCACTCCGTATGGACCTGGCCTCTTCTGGCTGACAGCCAAAAAAGCGACCAAGAGAATCATCACTTCAAAAACCTGGGCCAGCTTTCCAGAGGTTCCTGAAGACACGCCTGGGCCAAGCAGCGGTCGTGGTGACGCTGGATGGGCGAGCGCGCTCCAGAAGCTGTGCAGGCGCTCCGGCAGGTTGGTCAAGGAAACGCTGGCCCAGCTTCTCGGGAGGAGGGTTTCTGAATCAAATGGTCGAAAAATTTGTTCGAGGCCCCCCAAAATGGGGTCCGATCAGATGGGGTCGGTTCACAGCCTGGCCTGGCATCTCCCGGTTCACAGCCAAAAATACGACCAGGAAAATTGTCACTTCCAAAACCTGGACCAGCTCTCAAAGAGGCTTCTGAAGGCACGCCCAGGCCAGGCAGCGATGGTGATAACGCTGGAGGGGCGAACGCGCTCCATAAACTGCGCCAGCGCCCCGGCAAGCTGGTCAAGAAACGCTGACCCAGCTTTGCGGGAGCAAGCTTCTGAATAAAATGCTCGACTGCAGGGCTGAACCTAAACGGTGTTTTTCGTTTTCGTTTTGTTTTCGTTTTCCCTCGCTTTTGTCTCGAATCCGCCTTTGCCGCAAGACGAAGTCGAAACGAAAACGGCCCACGAAATCGCCAAAAACACCGTTTAAGTCCAGCCCTGCTCGACTGTATGTTGAGAGGCCTCCCAAATGGGGTCCGAGCAGATGCGGTCGGAAGATCGCGCCGCATCGGCGATGCATCGGCGATGCATCGGCGATGCGTCGGCGACGTCGGCGTGGAGAACATAGGGCTCTGCATCGCGCCGCGTCGCCGGTGCAGCGGCGATGCGGCGCGACCCTCCGACCCCATCTACTCCGACCCCATCTAGAAGGCCTAGAATTAAGTCGGGGATATTGGGCGAAAAATGAAAACTCAAACAAAATCCCACAAATTGTCAAAAACAACTTTAAACAAATTATCCTGGTGAACGACCCAACCATATGCAGTTGTGAGTAATGCGTTGTGCGTGCCGCTTGCGGTGGAGCTTCCTATAGGGCCACGCAACACGTGAGGGACGTGCCGAAATGGGTGGGGGAGACACATGCGGGCGGTGCCACTGGGGCATTCGGTGGGCTCCCTATGGGCCACGAGACGCTGTACTGGGCGTGGCGGACGCTGGCGGGCGGTGCCCTTCGCTGGAACTTCCGATGAGGCCACGAAGCGCTGTACTGGTTTGGGAAGACGCACGCGGGCTGTGCCACTGGGGTCTTTCTGTGGAGCCCCCTACGGTGCCACGAAACGCTGTACTGGGTAGTGGCCGACGCATGCGTGCCAGTGGGGGCTTCGGTGGGGCCCCCATATGGGGCCACGAAGCGCTGTACTGGGAGGGGGGGGCGCATGCGGGCGGTGCCACTGGGGCCTTCGGTAGAGCTCCCTGTGGGCTCACGAAACGCTGTACCGGGTGGGGGGTCGCATGCGGGCGGACCACTGGAGCTCCCTACGGGGCCACGAAACGCTTTACCTGGTGGGGGGGCGCATGCGGGCGGTGCCACTGGGACCTTCGGTGGAGCACCCAATCAGTGGGGCCACGAAATTGAGTACTGGGTGGTGGACGACGCACGCGGGCGGCGCAAACGGGGTCTGTCTGTGGAGCTCCCTATAGTGCCACGAAAGGATGTACTGGATGGTGGCTGACGCATTCGGGCGGTCCCATTGGGACCATCGGTGGAGTTTCCTATGGGGCCAGGGTGGTAGCTGACGCATGCGGGCGGTCCCACTGGGACCATCGGTGGGGTTCCCGATGGGGCCACGAAGCGCTGTACTGGGTGGTAGCTGACGCATGCGGACGGTCCCACTGGGACCTTCGGTGGAGCCCCGTATGGGGCCACGAAGCGCTGCGCTGGGTGGTGGCTGACGCATGCGGGCGATGCCAGTAGGGCCCTCGGTGGAGCTCCCTATGGGACCACGAAACGTTGTAATGAGTGGGCGAAACGCAGGGAGCAAGGGCTGTGCTGGGTGGTGGTTAACGCTGTGGGCGGCCCTACTGGGGTCTTCGGTGGAGCTCGCTGTACGGAGTGGGTGAAACGCAGGGAGAAAGAGCTGTGCTGGGTGGTGGCTGACGCATGCGGGCGGTCCCACAAGGACCTTCGGTGGGGCTCCCTATGGGGCCACGAAACGCTGTACCGGGTGGGCGAAACGCAGAGAGCAAGGGCTGTGCAGGGTGGTGGCTGACGCATGCGGGCGGTGCCACTGGGACCTTCGGTGGAGCTCCCTATGGGGCCACGAAACGCTGTAGTGGGTGGGCGAAACGCAGGGAGAAAGGGTTGTGCTGGGTGGTGGTTGACGCATGCGGGCGCGGTGGAGCCCCCTATGTGGCCACGAGACGCTGCACTGGGTGGGCGAAAAGCAGGGAGCAAGGGCTGTGCTGGGTGGTGGCTGACGCATGCGGGCATTGCCACTGGGCCCTTCGGTGGGGCGCCTTTACGGGGCCACGAAGCGCTGTACTGGGTGGGCGAAACGCAGAGAGCAAGGGCTGTGCTGGGTGGTGGCTGACGCATGCGGGCGGTGCCACGATGGAGACTCCCTATGGGACCACGAAACGCTGTACTGAGGGGGTGAAGCGCAGGGAGCAAGAGCTGTGCTGGGTGGTGGCTAACGCATGCGGGCGGTGCCACTGGGACCTTCGGTGGAGCGCCCTTATGGGGCCACGAAGCGCTGTACTGGGTAGGTGAAACGCGGGGAGCAAGGACTGTGCTGGGTGGTGGCTGACGCATGCGGGCGGTGCCACTGGGACCTTCGGTGGAGCCCCCTTATCGGGCCACGAAACGCTGTACTGGGTGGGCGAAACGCAGGGAGGAGGGAGGAGGGGGAGGAGGGAGGGGGAGCAGGAGGAGAGGAGGAGGAGGAGCCGTCTCTTCAAAACGAGGACCCAACACCACAGGATGGTTGGGAAAAATAGCCCCCAGAGTATGTTCAATCATTTTTGAATATTCCTCCTGTAGAGGAAAGTGCCCGACTTA